GGGTTGCACATATTTAGTCCCAACGATGTTAGAAAATTTTTTCACAACCCAATGATGTTTGGGTTGGATTAGGGCGGTGCGAGGTGAGTTTGGTGGTGGGTTTCAACATTCAGAGAATTAAAGACTCAAAGTTCATTCTAACATTCAGAGTTCAATCTAACATTCAGAGTTCATCATCAAATGGAAATAATAATTCAAACATTCAAACAGATAGAAATTTAAAGTTCAATCCAATATCAAACATAAAACAAAGTAATCCATCTAACATCAAACATAAAGCAAACATAAATTAGTCTTTAACATAAAGCAAACACATAGGCTTAATTCAAACATGAAGAAACTAGAGAGTAGAAATGAGTTGTCTGCCTAGGGTTAGATATTATAAGAGGCAAGTTAGAGCGCGGGTTGGGTTGGGTTGGGGTGTGCGGACCATTATAAGCTTAACCCACACCTCGCCCCAAAATTTCGGGCTAAACATTGAATGAGCTGAAAAAAAAATTTTAATACTAAAAATTACATTTTTCAAATTAGATTAGAGTGTGGTGAATTGGACCTGCGGATTTTATGGGTTTATGAACAGCTCTATTTGTCGTTGTGTATTGAAAGTTTTTCAATATTTAAAAGGAAAGGAATTTCATTTGTATTTGGCGAACAGAACTTGCAAAGCAAGGACGCCTGAACAACTCGTGTATAGGTAATGCTTGTCCAACAGTCACACGATTTAATGACATTAGAGATAATATAGAGTATGATCTGAAATAAACAACATACTAGTACGGTCTCACTTCATTTTCTTGTAAATATGACAAAATCAAAGACGAGAAAGAAAGATGATAACAATTCTATGCGAAGTTTATCTCATCTCAGCTTATGAATGCTTCAAAATGGAAGGATTTTTCTAGTGAGAAGAGCACGTGTGCAGAATGGGTTGTTCGGCGTTTAACTCGTTAGGAGGGGAAGAATGACCTCGTTCATTTCACCGATTCGACTTTTCAGTTTTAAATTTTTACAGTAAAAAATTCTAATAAAGTGTCACATCTAACTTTTTCTGTTATAATGAAAAACTCTCACAAAACGTCACATCTCGACTCAAATTAAAAACTCAAATTCGCGAAGTGAACGAGACCTATTGGTGTTTCAAGATAAAAAGGAACACAGACGGATGATGATATAACCAATCATTTTACGTCCGTTTAAAAATTATACTCAAATTATAATTTTTAATTTTATATTTAAATTTTTAATTTTTTATGAGAATAAAATATCATAACATAATTAATAATTTGAGTTTTAGAATACGCGTAGCCCGTTCATTTCGCTAATTCGAGTTTAGAATTCAAGTTTTGCTACAGTAAAAAACTCTCATAAACAATCACATTTAACTTTTTTACTACAATAAAAAGCTCTCACATAAAATCACATCTCAACTCGAATTAAAAACTCAAATAAAAGAACTAAACGGGACGCACTTTTTGTCTCCACATTGGATTTGAATGAGTTAAAAGATGTTCAGAAGCAATCATGTTGAATCCTATAAAGAAAGACAGAAGAGGAGATAATTAACGGTACACCGTCGAAAGAGTTTTTCCAAGTCAAAGAAATAAACAGCAAAAAGTTTTCTTTTGAGAATTCTTTTTTATTTGAATTTTATATGGAAGGCATTTTTCAACTGGTCAAGAAATTTGTATGTGAAACAGTGCAAAGTCATTAATCATCCGTGGATTGCACACTTTGGTAATTCACAATATTGTAAAAAAAAAATTAGAGTAAATTGCATTATTTCACTCTAAATTATCCACTTGTTGCGTTACATATCCTGAATTTTTAATTTTGTAAAATGTACCATGAGAATTAAAGTCCAATAGTTAATGACTTTATCAAATTAATAATTCGAGACACAAAATTTACACATGATATAATTTGAACCATCAATTTAATAATATTTGTTAATTATGATCACAATTATTACTGATTTTAAAGTGTATTTTGTTAAAATTAAAAGTCAGGATCCATTATGTAAAAAACTAATACTTTAAAGTGCAACAATGAAATTTACTGTAAGAAAAAAAAAGAAAAATTAATCTTACTGTTGGTTCTTGTACAATACTTTGTATCTGTTATTACCTCTCCAATCTTCAAAATATAACACCAAGTATTTCAAGTCTTCTTTGTAAATAATATTGATGAATTGAGCTTTTGAATGGTGGTATCTTCATCGTTGCTTGCATAGCTTTGGTTCTTATCAGAGATTAATTTCTTCTGTCTTTCCATGAGAGCTTTAGATTCTACACATTTCGGGATTAAGGTGATGTAGGAAGTATAATAAAATTAGTGTTAGTTTAATAATTTTACTAAAGTAATTATGTTTAATTTAATTGTCATTTCTTTTATTATTCTATCATTTGTCATAGTTGATACTTTTATATATAAGTTATAAATAGCCACATTATTAATTGTAATAAAAGACTTTAAATATTTTGATAATTAAATTAGACTTAAATTTCCTCTCTAATTTAGGAATTTTCCTCTTTGTGGAGATTTTTTTAGTGGATTCAAGAATTTTTCGTCCTAGTTAGGCTAGTAAAGCTTCATTCTATCTATTTCACGGCATCATAGTATCCAAAGATTGATAAACCACATCTTCAATTTCTTCCCTTCATTTTTTATGGCAAAAAACTCATCAAAGTATATTTCTAATAACCATATAATCAAATTACATGAGTTAAAAACGGTGGAGCTTGAATTTGGAATTGGGAGGGCACGGTTCATCTAAAGTTGTATATGTTAAAAGAAAAGAAAAACTCTAAAGTGCATTAAGGGTAAAATGCACCTAAGAAATGAGTCCGAACCTGAATAACCCACCCGATCCGACCCGAAGTGTAGGGGTTTTTATTTATTTATAAAAAGTTAAGATTCAAATAGTCCCAACTCGCACTGTGGGGCGGGCATTTTGAACCCGCTTTGCCCCGACCCGACTCGATTTAGGTGTGTAACCCTAAATCTATTTTGCTGGATTATCTCTATATGGACTGTTTATTTGACTATTGTTAATTTTATTTATAGACTTTATTGACTGTTAAGAAATATATTTGATGTTATGTTAATGCTTATGGACTGTTTATGGATTTTATGCTTTTAGATTGTTAAAAGAGGTATGAAGTCATAGATTAAAATTAATTTTCACAAACCCGAGTAACCCGAGCCTACCCGAGGTCACCCGACAGGTTGCGGGTTTGTGAGCTTAAGAGAGTGTTACGGCATAAAATTTTCTCAACTCGCACTGAGCGGGTCAGCTTAACCCGACTGACCCGGCCGAATTACACCCCTAATGCACCGTATTATATTATATTATAATTTTTTTTGTGGCTTTTAAAATGCAGTGATCTATTTTAATAAACCAACAAGTGACAAAAAAAACCTAAGCACGAATGGCCGCGTGACAATTATTTGTCCAAAATCAACTTCAAAAACTATCAATTTAGCACCGTACCATCTCCAACAATTGAAGTACACAAACAATTATAGTTACCACAAAAAAAAGAAAAAAAGTCAAGACAATGGTAATGCATAGTAAGAGGAATTAGGAAGCAGGAAGGTTGAAGAGACTAATGGGATAACCACTCACCAAAAGAAGTCAAAAAAAGAGGGAACACGTGTCCCAAGATCTAAACAATCCCACATTCGCACTCTGCCTCCAACTCCCCCCAAAACTCATCCAAATAAACAATAAAATAAAAAGAGCTTATTTAGTAAAATTAAAAAAAAGAAACTACTAATACATTTTTTATTTTTAAATGTTAAATATGTATAAGAATTATTTTAAATTTATATTAAAAATTATTTATTATATATATATATTTTTAATTTAATATGTTTAATTAAATTTAATAATCGTCACTGTCGTATTAGATTAAAATGATTTTCATTAAATTTAATGATTATGACTGTCTTATTAGAAAAACTTTCTTCCTAGTGTAGTAATTTCCTTTTTTTTTTTTTTAAGTCAGCTAGGGTCATTTGAAATCTTGACAGGCTAGCTAGTCTCAATCAAAATGGATATTTTGACGATTCCAAAACTGAGAGAATCACATGGGATGTTCTACGAGCTCAAATAGAAAAGTGAAAATCCATTAGCAAGAAAAAAAAAAAAAAAAAGGAAGAGAAAATCAAGGACTAGCTACACTTTTTATTATTCACAACTCAAGTTACATAACTAAACACAAACTCAAATTAAATTCTCAATTCAAACCTTAACTCTACACAAAACAAATTCAAGTATATAATTTCAACTCAAATTTAACTTTTAACTTAAAACTCAAATCATGGAAAAGAACACTTTGGAAATTCGTTATTAAATCACTAATTTGTAAATAAAAATTTATTATTCAGCAATGCCACAAAGCGCTCTGTAGTCTGTATCTTTTGGTTTTATTTTTATTTGTGCATGTCACGTGAGCTTCACCTGGATTCGCAAACAACCAATGTGAAATATTTTCTGACACTTCTCCCCCCGCCCTCAAAAAGAAAAAAAAAAAAAAAGAGAGTTTATTTAAGAGGATAAGAAAACATGAATTATTGATAATTTTATTTCAGTTGTTATATTTGTCTGAAATTATCTATTTTATATATATTTTTAATTTAATATGATTTTAATTAAAACTGCTATTATTAGTAGAGAAGGCCATAAAATAAAATAAACAAAAGAATACAAGAGAGAAAAAAGCCAAAAGAAAAAAAAGAAAAAAAAGAAAAGAAAGGAAAGAAAAGGAAAGGCAAAGAAAAGAAAAGCAAAGCAAAGAAGAGAGACAGGAATCGAGAGAGTCGGCGGCCCATCTCTTTAGCCGACCAATCATCACGTCTCTTTCCTCTCCTTTCTTCACCACTACTACTACCACTACCAAAAACCCCTCTTTTCCTAACCTTATTTAACCTTAACTTTCTCTCATTCTCCTTTTCCTTTTCTCTGCTCTCTTCTTCTTCTTCTTCCTTTTTTTCTTTATTTCTGGAAGAAAAAAAATTTTCAATTGACTTGGTTCTTCCGTATATATTTTTTCCACAGTTCGGAAGACTCCTTGTTATATTTCTTTGTTTTTTTCTTTCTTTCTTTGAATTTATTTTTTTTCCATTAATATGATGAGGGGGGGTTCGGTAGAGCAATTTGTGGTTGAGAAAATTGAAGATGGCGCCGATAAGGAGAAGAAGAAGAAGCGCCGATCTGGTCGACGATCCAAGCAAAACGCTTCCCAATCGGGTATTTTTAAAATTTTTTTTTTCTCAATTTTCGTTTAAGAATTTCTGTGGATTTATTGCTGACTTTTATTGACTTTTTTATGTACATTTTTTTTTTCTTGAGGGATTTCTACATTTTCTCTTGTTGGGCTTTGTTAATTAATCAAGAATTTTCTTATGAATAATTATTGGCGTCTTTTATCTTGTCTTTTTTTTTTGTTGTCGAATTTGCCCATTTTTATGTGTGATGAATTATGATTTTGTTAATAACGTAAAGGTGGGAGTGGGAACTTATATATATATATGCTTGTTAATAAGTGAGATATTCGAGTACAAAGCTAATCTTGTTGTCAAGTTGGTGATGAATTTTGAGAATTTTTGGCTTAGCTTTTGTTAACATTTTGTTTTGGAGTTCTTAATATGGTTATTTTGATTCAAGAGAAGGAATGAGGGCAAGCTAGATTGGAGATGGAGCTGGGAAGGAGATTATTTGTGCTTCTAGAATCTAGAGTAACTTTTCCTTTTTATTATAGTCAAACTATTGTGTGAAAATTACTTACATTTCTTATGCTGCTTGTTGTTATACATTTTGGAATAATAGAAACCCATTTCCCAAAAGAGAGCATATTTTGGATGTTTGACTTAATTTGTTACCATACCATTGATTTAGGAAAGCGATTAGATGTGTGATGTAAACTATGGACATGTGGGATTTTTCTTCAAAAGATAGCTCTATTTTGGAGGGTGTGGCTTTGTTATAACTTATATGCCGGACTCCATTCTATTGTTAATTCTTGTTTTGGTTCGTTGCTTGTCGATTAGTTTGTCTCCTGTTTACTACATCTCTCTCTCTCTTTGCGTACAAGTTTGTCAATTTTGACCTTTTTGTCTTCCTGTGTGATGTCATTAATCCAGTAAATGAAAGTCGGGGCGAAGCGGCAGAGTACTCGGGGAATGGTAGATCAACTAATCATTTGCTTGCATACTCGAGGCAACCAAAATTCGGGATATGTCCTCCAGATGATCATGGATTTACAAACACGTCTAATGTTGCTTTCAATTCTCTGCCTCCACTGCATATCAATGAACAGACCAATTCAGAAGATATGCAAAACTCACAAAATCAGAATCCTCACCCATCGAATCTTGGTGGGGAAATGTTTTCAAAGTCGTATTCCGAGCCAAGTACTTATAGAGGATCACCTGACTTATTCATGACCAAAGTCTTTCCTTCTCATCTGATAGAGAGCTATGCCCAAAAAAAACTTTATGCTCTACACTGGTCTCTAGAGGCTGTTAATGATGCTTTAGAGGTCAGTTTAACACCTGTCTTAATGTATTCATTATTAATTGGACGTTTGGAGATATAATCATATGTTACTGGTTATGGAACAAAGGAGTTGTGTTTAATGTTTCTCTTCTCTCTCATTTTTTATTTTTATTTATATTTATATATTTATTTTTTTTATAAATGACAGAAAGGAGATGTTTTTAAAGCTTTGTTTCGCGTCAATGCCCACAACAGACTTGAGGTTGGTGACATTTCTTTGATGTCATGTTCATTTCTGGATTGGTTATAAAGAAAGTTTCTTGGTTATCTGCTGGCAGGCTTATTGCAAAATCGATGGAGTACCGGTTGACGTTTTTATTAGTGGAGTTGCTGCCCAGAATAGAGCTGTAAGTTTGGCGTTTTGGTTTTCCTTCTTTCAGCTGCCTGATATCATGTATTCTTTCCTTGTTTGAGCATCTATGGGTAAATTTTAGCATACACACTGGCTGTTGCAATGTTGCAATCATGAGTGCTTCAGTTTGATTTTGATCCACCCTTGTGTTTGTGTATGCTCCTGTTGCACAAAGTGTTCCCTTATGCAGAAGCAGTGCATGCATATGTTTCGTTTCAACAAAATCGTATTTTTTCTCAGATGCCATGCCACTTATGTAAGGTTTTAGTTCGTTTCTGGAGTTGAGAATTTAGAAAGATGGATAAAATACAGTTGTCAGCACTGAGCAGTCATCCTTGTTGCCTCTTAGGATTCTTTTCATGCCTTTCTTTATGCATTTTTGCCTTATACATTTTAGAGCTGTTTTTCTTGAAAGTTGGTGTTAGACCTTTTGGTTTACGTTTGCAACTACTTCCTCTGGCAGTCAAATAGTGAAATTCTGTGTTGATGTACGTATAAATAGTCCATATGACTGTTGTCTAACGATTTCATGGAAAAATACCTGTTTTATTTTATTGTACTTTCTCAAGGAATTTAAAGAGTGTGGACATTGAAAATTATGCTTGTTTATAAGGATCATTTCCTTGTTATAGGATGCATATTTGCTCTTGCAGAAATGGAGGTCATAGTTGCATGATTGCATGATTTCATTTATTCTCTGCAGGTGGAAGGTGACATTGTAGCAGTTAAAGTTGATCCTTTGCCATTGTGGACAAGAATGAAAGGCTCAACAGCAGGTGGTAGCAATTCAGCACCAGTGGAGGATTTGAACTTATTATCAGAATGTAATGAAATGGCCGGTAACAGTTGCAAAGGTAAAAGTAAGGTAGATGTGGATTATCAGTACGCAAATCATGGTTGCTGCTTGCCTGCAGAGAAGGAATTCCATTCTGAAAGGAATACTTCTCTTGATGAACCTGTTCAGCCAGAGTCAATTGGACCATCAAGTTGTGAAAATATGGATGGATATCATTTCCCTGCTTCAGGTACTTCGCATGTGGGTTCTTCTAGTGGAATGAATCATGTTAGAGATGCAATAGGAAGGATGTGTGCCATGATCAGCTCATTCCCTTCAAAACGGCCGACGGGAAGGGTTTTAGCTGTCATTGAAAAGTCTCCTCGTCGAAAAGCTGTTGTTGGTTTTCTTAATGTTAAGCAATGGATTTTGTACCAGGAAGTTTGCAGGAAAGATGCGAAGAAAAACAAAAGTACCTTAGCATTTACTGACTACGAGTACATCCAGCTTACACCCATTGATCCAAGACTTCCCAAAATGATGGTCCTCGTGCAAGGCTTACCTGACTGCATAAAGAAAAGATTGGAGAATGGTGATGTGACTCTTGAAATCGAGTTGGTTGCTGCTAAGATTGACAATTGGGGAGAAGAAAGTCCTTTTCCTCAGGCTTGCGTGTCACATACTTTTGGGCAGGGTGGCGAATTAAACTCACAACTTGGTGCAATTTTATTTGAAAATGCTATTTGTTCTGCTGATTTTTCTCCCAAGTCATTTTCCTGCCTTCCAAATGTTCCTTGGGAGGTGCCACTTGAAGAGCTTCAAAGCAGAAGAGATCTTAGAAAGTTGTGCATATTCACCATTGACCCTTCCACTGCCACTGAGTTGGATGATGCTTTGTCAATTGAAAGGTTATCCAATCGTGATTTCAGAGTAGGTATCCACATTGCCGATGTGTCATATTTTGTTTTACCCGACACAGAATTAGATAAAGAAGCTCAAATGCGGTCAACAAGTGTCTATATGTCACGAAAGAAATTGTCCATGCTGCCTCCTTTGCTTTCGGAGAATATTGGTTCCCTTAATGCAGGTGTAGATAGACTTGCGTTTTCTATGTTTTTGGATATCAACTTGGCTGGGGATGTTGAAGACAGGTGGATTGGCCGTACTGTGATAAAGTCATGTTGCAAGCTGTCTTATGAACACGCCCAGGAAATAATTGATGGGCCAATGGATACTGGGAGTTTATTTTCAGGAAATAATTGTCCCCAGTTGCATGGCCATTTTGAGTGGGTTGATGTAGTTAACTCTGTCAAAGACCTCCATGAACTTTCTAAAATTTTGAGGGGTAAGAGGTTTAGCAATGGGGCTTTAGCGCTAGAAAGCTTAAAAGTTGTTTTTCGTTATGATGAATGTGGAAATCCTTATGATAGCATGCTTTCTGAACGCAAGGCTTCTAACTTTCTTGTTGAGGAGTTTATGCTTCTGGCGAATAGAACTGCTGCTGAGGTCATATCTAGAGCTTTCCCAGACTGTGCACTACTGCGGAGGCACCCAGAGCCTAATATGCGAAAACTCAGGGAGTTCGAAGCTTTTTGTCACAAACATGGTTTAGAGTTAGATACTTCTTCTTCTCGCCAATTCCATCTTTCGTTGCAGAGGATCGGAGAAAAGCTCAAGGATGATTCGACTCTCTTTGATATTATCATGAACTATGCTGCCAGACCAATGCAGCTGGCGACTTATTTTTGCACTGGGGATTTGAAAGATGATGAAAATGATTGGGGTCATTATGCTCTAGCTGTTCCATTATATACTCATTTCACTTCACCTCTACGCCGGTATCCCGATATTGTTGTGCATCGGACACTGGCTGCAATTATAGAGGCTGAAGAATTATATCTGAAACATGAGAAAACATTTAACAAATTTCATAGGGGACAGGAAGCGACAAGAAAATGCTTCACTGGCATCAATTTTGAAAAAGATGCTGCTGAATCCCGGGAAGGTAGGGAAGCATTATCGGCAGCAGCCCGTAATCATAGAATTCCTGGGACTGAATTACTTGCTAAAGTTGCTGCTTATTGCAATGATAGAAAGCTGGCTAGTAGACATGTCAAGGATGCTTGTGATAAGCTCCATATGTGGGCTCTTCTAAAGAAGAAACAGGTATTAATTAGCCTGAACTAGGGCAAAATTTTATAGGCGTCTTGCATGCTACGTTTTTTTTAATGATTTCTTTTTCATCTGCTTTTGCTTTTATCAATTACGCTAATCTCTAAGTTTTTTGTTCCTCGAGGTCATGTCATGCTCTTTTGAAATGTAACTTAATCTTCATTAACAATTAGAGGGCATGCAGCTTTATTTAAGAGTAAACCTCTCCAAGCTTAATAAATTAAATGGAAATGATCATTCTATAATCTGATTAAATAAAGTGTAAACCTCTCCAAGCTTAATAACTTTACATGGTAATGATTGTTCTATAATTTGATTCAACCACGTGTCAAGAGAAATATGACGATAATTAGTTTAGTCTTTGCTTATGTTTGGTATAATCTTAACTGCTTGAAAATGTTTACTTCTATAATGTGTTAGGCGCTACTCTCATCTAGCAGCCCATGCTATATTGCTATGCTTCTCATGATATTTATTTTGTGCTTCATATGTTGATTGCTTTGATTTCTCCTGCAGGTTTTACTATCAGAAGCTAGAGTTTTGGGTCTGGGACCTAGATTCATGTCGATATATATTCAGAAGTTAGCTGTAAGAACTTCTTGTGACTCATCTGTTGTATTGATATTTTATGAAGTAAACATTTTTCTCCTCTTTGTTTTGTTTATTCTATGCTTATGAACACCTCATGCTTTCAGATTGAACGTCGAATTTATTACGATGAAGTCGAGGGCTTGATGCCCGAATGGCTTGAAGCTACGTCCACATTGGTGCTTAATTTATATCCTAACAGACTCTGTACCCGGAGAGGTAGCCCTGGTAAATGGAGGCCAATTGAAGATGTTGCCTTGATTGTTAGTCCATGTGATCTGCAAGCTGAACCGGGTGTGGTTGGGAGTAGTTCTAGTGAGCCCGTTGGCTCATCCGTTGTCACATCCCAATCTGGCTCTTCAGAAACCGAACTTGACCCCTCAGTTTTCCCCATCACAGTGCGTCTTCTCTCAACAATCCCTGTGGCAGTGCATGCAATAGGCGGGGATGATGGACCGGTTGATATTGGAGCCAGACTGTACATGAGCTCGTATTTCTGCTGAATTGGGTGTCTAAAAATGGTTGACTCGTGTTCCAAAGTTGATTTAAAGATGAAGGGAGAACAGAGCACAGGATTGCGGAAAGCTCTGCTGTAGATACACAAAAGCAGTGTATAGTTCAAGGTAGAGTTGTAGGAGAAAGAAAAAAAAAAAAGGGAAAAATAAATGGTTTCGAATCTGGTGTTGCTTTTTTTACCAATTAAATTTTCATGCTGAAGCAGATTTGGTAGGCAGTATAGATAAAAGTTGGGGATTTTGTTGTGGCATTGGCTATATGGCGGCTGTTTTTTTTTTTTTTAACAGAAGCTGCTTGTTGGAATAGGCTTTTGTTTTTATTGGTCGATTCCATCCAGTGTAACTTGGTTAACAAAATAACCCCATATCTGGCTCTTGCACACCAAGTTTGTTTTTATAGGTTTCACTTGTTTCTCTTTTAGACAGCAGCCCAATAAGTTTTTGATTTTGGGTGGCAAGGTTTACCGGTTAGTCTTATGTATTAATATTGTGCTCAAGACATCATCTGAATGTTGAATTGTGAAAAAAAGGCTTTAATTGGCCGGGTTTCACAGTGGCATGTTATGTTCATTAGAGAAATGAAATTGTTAAGACTTCAGTTCCACTTTATCTTTTAAAATGCTATCTGGTTTATTCTTTACAAAATGCTATTTTGGTTTTTGGTTTGTTTGTTTCTACTCTATTTATTTATTTATTTAGAGAAGGATTTGCCTTTTTGTCTACTTATAATGTGCAGTTCTTTCATAGTATTTTAATGTTCGTCTATTCATTTATTGACTTGCATTTTCTTAGCTTTATTTATTTTTTATTTTCTTAGAGAAATGCTTAGGTTTTATTCGTTTGTATATTATTAGTATACATGTGCTCAGTATTTATCCCACTTCAAGTGTCTAATTTTCTCCTTTCCTGAAGTTTTGATATTGCCACCTACAAATTATGGAATTGTTGAGGTAATCAAGGTTTAGCAAATTGTTATAGTGGTTATCCGCGTAGTTTAGTGGTAAATTTACAGCTCTCTTCATCTTTGTAGAGTTTCGGGTCGGAAGGTATACTCAAATTATACTTCTTAATTCTCACATTTGAAATTTAAATTTTTTGTGAGAGGAAATTACGTAGTAAAATCAATAATTTAAGTTTGAGTATATAAAACAAACGGGTTTTTAATCTACTTATATATATGATTACTATCTGGTAATAACTTTTTATTATGCATTAATCTGAAACCATGCATCATTACAGAAGGTAGATCTGGGAATGTGCTGAGTATAAAACTGCGCAAGCGTTAACAATAAATGCTAGGTATTCCCAGTTTTTGAGGATGTTTTTGGGACCATAAAAGGATATTTATGTCACTTTAATTTTAAAGGGGATGTTTATAAGTTTTATACTATGTTTTTTGAGATTATTAGAAAATTACACCTTGCATTTTGAAATCTTGACGTTCATCATATTGCCATTTCGAATTATAGGTATTGTAAAATTGATCACTTTTTTTAAAGTGTACTAATTTGCAATTAGCTAATCTAAGTGGTGAAATACTGATTTACTAGTTAATACTTTAGGGAAGGAAAAAAATTTGACTAATTCCATCTAAAATTCTAGAATGTAAATTTTTCTGAAGAAAAAAAAAATCAATTCTACAATCAAACTGAAAAGGAGAAGAATAGTCTACTCCTTGTAACCAAACACTCCCTCTGGGTAACCAAACACTCCCTCTGAACCCTTACGCGCCAAAAAGCCCTTCTTCCCACCATCCCACAAGAGGGGGGGAGAGAGAGAGAGAGAGAGAGAGAGAGAGAGAGAGAGAGAGAGAGTATGACATCTGCAGTGGGATGGTACGGACCGCTGATCGATCTCTCGAAGGCATCTTTTCACGTCGGCGACTTTGTCCAGCTTCTCGTCTTCCTTCACCCATCCACTCCTCTTCAGGTATTTTTCTCTCCGTTTCTTTCTTTCCTTAATTGGTGTCGTTTTTAGCGATCGGTGACAACAAATGGGGAAAATGCATTGCACGCAGTACAAGCTATGGAAAGGAGGAGAGATAGTGAGAAAGGACATTCATGTCGGCGACGACACCAGACCTTTCTTCCCCATCTCCATTTGGCAAAAGCATTTCGCTTCCGTCGCCCTTCCCGGTGATGTCGTTTTGTTACAAAGTATTTTCTTTTTCCTAATTTTTATTTTATTTTTAGCCCCGTATTTTTATTTTTATTTATTTATTTATTTGGTTCTGGGTTTCTTGTTTCAGATGTTAAGATAACGAAATATGGACATGTGTTGGAGGGTAGAGCCATTTACTGTTCTTCCTTGCTTCCTCTAGTACACCCTTATCAATCACTTGTCTCGAAGGGTACAATTCTTTTTTATTTATATTTTTATCATTTTCACTTTGTGAAGAGGAAAACACAAAATATTATTATGGGTTACAATTTACAAAATCCTTATGTATGTTTGGCATAGCTTTTGCATCCGTAAAAAAAAAGAAGTAAAAGTTATGACTTTTTAGTAAGTATGGAAACACATTTTTTTTTTAATGTACTTAATGGGAAAAAAAAATTTAAATTCTTTAATAGGCAAAAAAAATATTAGAGTGATGTTAAAATTTTTGCAGTGATGCTATAGGTTTCAAATTCTTTTTAGAAGAGCTTTCTTGAGAAGTCATCTGAAAAGTTATCCAAGCACTCCCATAAGCAGCTTTTAGATTTGGCGAGTCGAAAATTGCTTTAAGGAAGTAATGCTAAACAAACCCATTAAATTTAAGACAAAATAATAGGTTTTTTGAGAGGATCTTGAGCTTCATTGTTAAATTTTGACAGGTTGTCTATGTATTTCATTTGTCTAGACTAAGGAAATTATCTTCTGAAAAATTGGGAACACTTGCTCACTAACACTCATTAGTGACCAATAAGTAGGAAAGAATCAGCTATATAGTCCATACAAGTAAATAAAACTCGTTCAGGTAACGAAATAAAAATTCAATGGTTTTAATATATTTTGTTATTATATCTGAGTGGTTTAGGTTTGGATGAGTTAGTGGCAGACTGTCGAGTAGGGATAACAGTTAAGGAAAAGCTCAGGAAGGTAATAGAATGGGTGAAACGAGCCGCGTACACCTTTTGCAGCATACAACCGCACTGCCATGGGGTATTTTTCTTTGTCCTCATACACGAAAAGTATAGCAACTCTCTCTCTTTCTGTTGAATTTCTTCGGTGGGGGCAGCCTATCATATCATACGTACCTTATAGGACCATAGATTGTAACCATACGATTTAAATCAAACAGTACATATGATATGTGGCTGGTTACGGAGATTCCTTGGAATCACCGTTGCACCTGCTTCATAAGCATTGTATAATCCAAATCGTACATCTGCCAGAGGTGCCCCAGGGTTGACATTTTCTCCATTATGCAGTCAAAAGGCCCTATGGGTGGGTTGCCCCTACTCTAGAAATCTCCTGAGTTCCCCCCTTTCCCCTTAAGTTTGTTTGATATATGATATCTCTCTGACAAGTTCTTGTTTCACACTTCATGCTAGTTTATAAAATCATACAATCGTCTTATCAGATTGCTAAAGTGTTGCACTAGTCATAGTCATATTCAGCAATTTACCAAACTACTTATTTGCTAATGTATTGGAATGGATCAGATGTTAAAATTAAGTTATAGATGATTTTTATTTTGGCTAAAATAAGTTCTAGATGAATAATTGGGTTAAACTGACAATGAAGACTCATGAGATATAATTTTCTATCTAGCAAACCACATTGTTTGAGTAAGCCCCATGTGCTTAGGCCTTGGTGGTTATATTTATTCCCAACAGTATAGATTGACGTAAAGTGCAAATTTTGCTAGAACTAAGAGATAACAAAACTAAGTTCTATTTTGTCCTTTATTATTACATTCCTTGTGCTTGTAGAGTTGGCTTCCTGATATTTTATGTGAAGCATGTTCGTCCTTTTTTGTTTTCCATACTTGGTGATACTTACAAACAGAAATGTTATAATTTCCAATTACACACATACATACATATCCTGCTAATGTCCATAATGCGTATTACACTACATAATCCTAGAAGTTCACTCTTTCAAAATTACTGACAACGATTCGTGTTAAAGAATATACAGTGGTCAAGGAACTGGAAACTTCCAGAAGAGAGGAAATCCAAGGACTGTTTTTTGCTGTCGGAAGTGTTACGCCTAACTGATGTGTGCAAAGCAGTCTTTTACGCATCTGTCGGTGAAATTTTTCTGCCACTTATTGCTACAACCCTTGGTGAGCCCGAAAAAGAAAAGATGTTCATCAGTAGGAGACTTTATAAAACAGGAGACTCTAGTTTAGCTACTGATCTCATTTGTACTGGTTGTCAGTTATGCGGTTCCCCTTTAAACGTGGAGCAAGGGTAATAGCAGAAAAATCTCTTGTTTTATTGTCTTTTCCATCATTAAAAGAACATGAATGTCATCTTTTTCTTCGTTGCCCTAGATCTATGTTTGAGAAGGATGCGCCCCCTTTATATTGTTCAGAAAGCTCAAACCGTCTGCACACAGTAAGCTTCATATACCGGCCTTTCATGGTAAAGATTTGTCATTAACTTCTTTGGTTCAACACATTTTTTACCCCTTACCTACTAGTCAATGACGCTTTGAATTTCAATCCAATTATAGTTGTATGTATGGGATGAGTCGGAGCATGTGCCACTTCTTGTCAGAAACAAAGCTGCAGAGATCTTATTTGGAAACATCAAGGCTGAAAGAATATATTCGAGCTTCAGAAGACCACATAATGAGAGTAAAGCTGATCCGAAAAACGCCACTCAATTCCATGCCGATGGGGTTTTGGGAGATTTGGGATCTAGTTCATCAGCTGCAGATAAGAGCGTGGACTTGAAGGGCAAGGAACATCTTGGAAGTAAAATGAACTTTTATCTCATATGGCTGATTCTTTTGAAAGCCTTGCTGCAACAAGGTAAGAACAGTCCTCTGAAATTTGAAGTCTCTGTAAATCCCAGTTTGGATATAGAAAATGGTAGGTTTGAAGTGGTTTCAGTGTGGATGCCATGTTTCAGAACCAAAGTTTGTTCAGATCAAAGTGTATCATTAGAAAACTGATTAAATTCCTCATTCCTGGTAGAAATATGGCTGGTCTAGAGTGATTGGAACAACCGAGGACGTAGGGTCAAATAATGTGTCCAAAATTATGTATTTGAAAAATTTTGGAAAATGTAATTCCAAAAGCCAACTATAAAATGTTCATTCAAGAGCATGGAAGAACGGAGGATGCAGGCTCCAAAAAATACGATAAAACATGAGTTTTCTTCAAAGAATTTTTATGACCATTTCTTAAAAAAATTTATCATTTTTTAGAATAGCTCTAAAATATGTAACATTTAGGATAGGTGCATAATTGATGTAAAGGTTAAAATCTGTCCTGAAATATTAGGACATTTTCTAACGCTCGATTGTATCTGTTGTATTATCATATTTTATTTGTGGGTAAGTATCCAAGACACGCACAATTACAGCTCGTTGGTTTAAGGGCCAGTTTGGTAGTGTCGTCGATATTAAAAAAATTGCTATTAGCTATGCTGAAAAAAAAAAACAAACAGCTACTACAAAAAGTAATTTAGTGTGAGATAAACAATAATTATACAAGTATTGATTCTAAAAGTATTATGAGTATTATGAAAGTTTTATTGATTGTATTTTAAGGTGATTGTCATACAATTTAAAAGTTAAAATTGTCTTTAGGCTGCTTCTAATTTTAACTGTAAATTTTTTATAAATTCTAGAAAATTAATTTTAGACTAAGAATAATTACTAAACATAAAGTCTCACGACACAATTCCTCAGCTTCACAAACTACAAGGAAAGACGGAAGAATTGCTTATTTTTTTTAGCACACGGGTTGTCTTTGTACTGTTTTTGTTTTTAATTTTGACTATAAATTCTTCAAAATTTCTTTAAGAATAACTTTTTATGATTTTTACTGAATACAAATTTTAACTGTGGACGGCTAAAAAATTAATTTTAAGCTCTAAGAATTACTGCTAAACATACATAAAGTCTCACGACACAATTCCACAGCTTCACAAACTACAAGGAAAGCCGGAAGAAATGCTTTTCACTCACTTTGTATTAATTTTTTTTTAGCACACGGGTTAATTTCCATCATTGAGTGATACAGAACAAAAGCTGTTCCAAAACAGGGGTATCTGGAATTTTATTATTCAACAAATTGAAGGAGACGCTAACAGCACCGGGGCCTCAGAAACATAGATAACACAGTAATATACTTCTGAAATTAAGACTCAGCTCCACTCTCAGTTAAAGAGCCATCAGTTGCAGAATTTTGGGCTTCCAATAGCTTCATTTGGCGTTCCGCGTGTTCCCGTTCGCAGGCACTTATTCCCATGATGATATCAAGCATGGTTCCGGTTGTGCCAAAGAACACAAGGGGTGCCAAAGATTTCCTTTTTATTCCCACGGGAATGGCTAGCAACGCCCCTGCTACTGAGAACACCCAAGTTCCCAATGCTCTGCACACAATCCATATTTGGTAAAGCTCGTCAACTATCGTTTTAAGGCAATTTTAACCAAGAATTTCCCAAGAAAAATAGACGAGAAAGAAAAAAGAAAAGAGGGGCCAGAAAATATTAAAGAGAGTCCGCTATCGCAAGTTAAAAGTTATATTTATGGCTGTTCATCAATAAAAAAAAATGTTCATGAAGGTTTAAAAGAAAATTTCGGCAACAAGGTAAAACTGAGTGATCCAAGGTTTCAATTATTTTCTTCTTGAAAAGAAAAATTAAGCATCAGATAAGCAAAATGATGTAAGCATCAAGCTCGCTCACCAAATTGCAGCACAGCATAGCAGAATAAAAACTAACAAGGAAATGAGTCCGATGACTTGGATTTGGTTAAACAGTTTTGCCAATCTTTGAACGATAGTTATACAATGCTCAACTACTCTTAGCATTTCATTTAGATGTCATAAAATTATCACTGCCACCATAATCCATATTGCATAAGTTTGAGCTATCCACGGTCAGTATCCTAAATTCCTGAATTCCAACTTTGATATTTTAGGTCAATTAAATTTACAAAATGAGATTCCAACACTACTAATAATCAAAACATGAAACAATAGGTGACATTCAAAACGTATGGATGGCATGAAAGGAAGGGAAAAAAAAAATAGAAACGGTATCTTTATTCCAATATTCAACATCCGGGAGACATGAAAATGCACACAAACTTTGCTAAACCTTGTGAAGGACGTTTGACTAATTTTGTCAGCCTGAGTTGTGATAAAAAAATCAGTACGCCAATGAATATATGTTCAAATTTAGTGAACATTAAAACCATTAAATCCTGAAATGTAAATAGAATTAATTCAAAAGAAAGGTATTACTCAGAAGAACTAAGAGATAAGTAAACCTCAAACGACACAAACAATAAAAAGAGCATCAGATAATGAGCTAAAAAAAAAAATACCATCTTTCTAGATCTTTAAGGAAAAGAAAGACAAAAGTATGACTTTTTTTTTTCTTGACAATAAATCCTAACATAATATCTCAATGACATAACAATGTCATAAGGATAAGGAACAAGTAAAATCTTCTATTCACAACCAATAATAGCATCAAGAGAATACTACTTTCAGGGTTCAAAAGTTTCTACTTCTAAACCAGCTGAAAAATACAAGTTAAAAATTCAGAGTTCACGGGCACAAAAAGAAAGCAACCAAGTATGGGAAAAAGAGCAATGCAAAACAATAGAAAGAAAGAGAGAGAACAAGAAAGGGTTAGAAACAACATACTCGGAGACCGAGCAATCCTCAAGCTGCTTAACATTCTCTTGGCCTGCCATTCGCAATTGCAGACTACAATTATAGGGAAAATGATATTCTGGGCAGCTTCTGACTGTCAGGAGTAATTAATCCTTGACATGAATTTAGCACAAGAAAAGAAAAAAATAGATCGTAATGTTGAATAAACAACGTAAATTCAAAACATGTATATGTGTGTGTCTGTGCATATATATATATATAATATTGTATAAACACTTAACAGCGTGGGTTTTAAAGGAAACTGCGAATTCGTCGGAGCTAAGAAAGAGAAAAGAGGAGTTGCTTACCGGTGGTTGCTACGGCAATCTAGAGTAAGGTGCCCGGCAATTTAGTTTAATTTAGGGCTTAGAATTTGGGAAAACGCACTCAAAAGAAGGAAAAAAAAGAAGGGTTAATTTAAAATTTAGCCCTAAAACAACAATGGTTGTCTCAATTTCCCCCCATAGAGTTTAAAATGACACAAAATAACTCTCAAAGTTATTAAAAAGTTAACAATTTTGATACTCATGTCTATGAAATCTCAATTTTTTATTTGTTTCTGAACACGTGTGGTCACTTAATTCATTACGATAATGTATAGAACTATAGTTTTTGCTGATGTAGGGTCCGTTCACTTTGCTGATTCGAGTTTGTAATTCGAGTTGAGATGTGATTTTATGTGAGAGCTTTTTACTGTAGTAAAAAAGTTAGATGTGATTGTTTGTGAAAACTTTTTACTGTAACAAAACTCGAATTCTAAACTCGTATTGGTGAAGTGAACGGGGCCGTATATAACTATAGTAATTATGTCTTATAGAGAATGAAAAATCGTTAGTTTCTCATAAATTTTAAAGTATATTGGTTGTATATCCTATTATTTTCAATGGATTCTATAAAAATATAAATAAATATATACTTCTAAAAAATGATATATTTTGCACTTTTTTTAAGGAATTTTGGTTGTATAATATTTAAGGGCTAAACCTTTTTTTAAAAAAAATTATTTACGATTTTAAGTTTTAACTGTTAAAGGTGTCACTGTAATTTAATTAATTAAGTCTAAATTGGTATAACTCTTATGTCCATAAAAATCAGGGATAACTTAATTTAATTTTTCCTTTTCTAATTTTCCCGAGAAAATGCTGTGAGAAAAAGTGAAAAATAGTACAGAGTGAAAGAAAGAAAGCGAGAAATAGAAGAATGAGAGGAGTCGGAGGACCTCTTCTATGCATTGGCGATCTTCTCAGCGACGTCGGCGATTCCGATTCCGATGCTTCTTCACAACCTCATCTCGATATTCCTTCTTCGTCTTCTTCCTCAATTCACGCTTCTCAGACGTTTGATCTCCCTAAACTCTTCGAGGTTTAGTTTTCTTCGATTTTCATTTCTCATTTCCAAATCGATTCATCTATTTCGTTTTAACGATCTTAAATTCGGTTCTCCGTAATCCAGATCGGGATATTGTGAAATTCTAAAGCTTTTCAATATTTTTCTTCAATGCTTGCGAATTTTTCATGTTTTGCATATTTCTGTTGTGGTTATTCTAAGTGTGAAAATGTTTGGTTAAATTAGCATCAGAAAGAAGTAAATTTATTTGTTTGATTCAGGAAAACTACAAGAATCTGAACGAGGCGCTTGCTGGCTCAGACCATTCGTGGACTGCTCTAACTTTAAAGGTGATTTGATTATAATGCCACCATTCATTGTACAAATTTGGACTGATTTTGATTATTGGAAATCTCAATAGAACATAATGCAATTTGACTTGAGAATAAATCTCATTAATTCCGCCGAACTTTTGGCACCGTAAACAATGTGCTTCTCGAATTTCATTTTTTATCATCCGTTTGCTCCCATCAACTTCGAAGTGTATCAAATTTTCTCCCTTCATTGATTTTTTGCATTAATATATTTATGTGTGACAAGTGATGTTTCTGTCTCTGAAGGAGACAGTTTGATACTTCGAATGCAAAGTTAAGGGGAAACGGATGATGGGAACTGAAATTTGAGGAGCACATTGTTTAAGCGCTAAAAGTTCGCGAAAATGTATGAAATTATCAATGTGAAATCTTTGGTTTTTTCCTCTTTCTCTAGCCCTATCCATATGAGGTCAAATCAATACGTTCTAAGAAGAAATATTTGAATATTAATCTCATCGATATCATCGATTTCATAAGTATTATACCAAATCCCATAAATCGAATCGCTTTTTCCAGAAATACGAGACATCTAAGTTATATAATTTTTTTTAAGCCAGTTGTGCAGTGCTCTGGAAACTACAAACAAGTTGGTCCAGTCCACTAACTCAACTGCTGGAGTACTATCTGAGAGGATTGGTGAGCTTGAGGAAGTTGTCAAGAGGGGAGACTCTGCTGTTGCAGCTGTCAGAGGTGTTATTTCTTCTCTAAGCCAAAAGGAAGAAGCACCTAAATGCAGTCAAAAACTGAATTAGTTCAATTGTATCTTCAGAAAGGTCAGTGAAGTCATACTTCCAGGCTTTTTAACACTGTTCTATGCAATACACAACCATGTTGAAAAAGAGAATAGTTATGAGGAAAAACCGAAAAAGTTGTATCTGTCTTTGAAGATGATTTCATGACTATCCTTAGTTTCAAGCTTGTTCTATTTTTTAGAGTTATACTTTTCTCTTTAGGTGTTTTCTTTAGATTATTACTTAATGAGGAATGCTAAATACAGACCCTATTTTGGACTCTGTTACATACTCTAGCCTAATCTTTTAACACTTGTCATCTCTATTTTAAGTCATTCCTTTTACGCTTATTTTCAAGAATGCCATTACTCTCTTTTGGCTTCTAAATGCAATGATTTTTAAGCCAAAAATAAATCTTTTTCTCAAGAGAAGAAGACAAAAACAACTCCTAAAGTACATAGTTTGCACCAGCTTTTGTCTTCTAATGATTTTACACATATTAATGGAAGGAAAAAAGAAAAGAAGAAAGAGATAGCCTTGCACAGATGATATCGCATATTCCTTTGTTTTGATAGAGAGAGCCTTGCATATTTTAGCAAAGAACAAGGCAGAAAATTTTGACAAGAACACGAAGGAAAGAAAGGGAAAAAAAAAATCTTTGACATGGCATGCTTGTTTGAAACTGTGAATAATGAAAATTTTCAATATAGTTGATTGCAAAATAGAATAATCCAAATAAAAACAACACTCTGTCAAATTAAGTCTTCTTATGCTAAAACTTACAAAATAACTATTCTAAAACCTTCATGATAAAAATAGGTTTTTTCGTCCTATCTTTCAAGCACATATCCTTCTCATGAAAAGAAAAACTAAAAAACGATTGATGGCTTCAAAACGGGAAAAAAAGGGGGAAAAAAAAAAGAAAAGAAAAAACCATAAACAACAAAAGTTTTTTTTTTAAAAAAGCTGGCGCAAATTATATACAGTAGAATTGAAGCAAAACATATATCAGCGGCCTCAACAGGAAAAAATAAAAAAGAAAAGAAAAACCGTTGAAAACGAAAATGAAAACAAAGGTCAAGCAAAATTATGTACCTTAGGAGTTGTTTTTCTCTTCTCAAGAGAATTGCAAAAAAGTATCTCCCCATTGTATGCAAGCCTCTCTCACGCTCTTTTTTTTTTTTTTTTCTATTGGATTGTGTAGGGTCGTTAGATTTAGGAGCCAAAAGAGAGTAATGGCATGTTTGTAAATAACTGTAAAAGCAATGACTTATTATTAAGTTAGTTTTTTCAGAAAATAGAGATGACACGTGTCAAAAGATTAGGCTAGAGTCTGTAACAAAGTTTGTAATAGAGTCTGTATTTAGCATTCCTCTTACTTCATTCTAGACGGTTGCTTTTTGTTTATCAATTGATGTGGCAACTTGATGGCTAAGTAACGTTCAACAGAAAATATTGGTGCCTCTAATATGATCTCCATTTGTAAACATAAATGGAGAGTCTAGAGTGACTTCTAGATAATTTCATATTAATTGTCTGAATTACGTGCTAGCATGATTATGCTAAAGAAAAATCCTGGGCAGCACTAAGTTACATACCTGAGTTTAGCTGTTTATGCGTTTTTGGGGCAACATGATATGATAGGCATTGAATGACCTCCGCATTTTGTTTTTGAACTGGGTGGAGAATTCAACTTTAGAACTCAATATTAGAAGTTAAGGTGTGGATTTACCTTTATGCCTGCAACCACGTGAGCTCCATTTATACATGCCAGCAAAGAAATGAAGCTAGTTGGTTCATGCCGTATGGACAGTTCAACCTGTGTATCAACATTTACTATGGTTGAGTTGCCTGGTGTTTTTCTGTTCCAGTCAACTTCGACCGCACGCTTTGCTAAAAAGCATAACCCAACTTGCTTCAAGTTTTGTTTTGTTCCTCTTTTTTTTTTTTTTTTTTTTTTTTTTTTTTTTTTTTTTTATTTTGGAGTCCAATGGGCATTGTATATTTTGGAGTCCAATGTATGTTTTCCACGATGTGCACCTCCAATAAGAAATAGACAGCTTAAAATGCTATCAGTTAAAAGGCTTGTATTTTGCTGTCCTAGCAAAGCTATTTAGCGATTGTGCTAAAACTACAATCTGGATTGCTTCAATTTAGAAGTCGGCATGTGTGTTTTCTGGGTTCTGCAAACTGTCTATTGTGGTTTGGGGTGGTTAAGTTGGCAAGTTTTGAGCCATAGCCTACCCCCAGTCCAAGATAGTTGAAACATTATAAACCACCTAAACCAACTCAATATGTTACCTCTATTCAGGTTAACCCAACTTAGCTTTTACTTGAGGTTGGTTTGGATTAAGTTAGCTCTTAGATTGGTTGTAAAGCCATTTCCCTTTAGATAAGTTGTATATACAGGTTAGATATATCGGTGTGTTCGTCTGTGTTTACATGTGTACAAAACATATATTATAATGGATTAAGTATAGAAATTAGAAACATTAATGTGTTTAACATATGTATTAAACTTGTAGCGTTATATACCTATAGGTTATAACTCAGTTAACTCTCACATAGTAATTAGTTAGCCAAGTTATAAACTAAGTCATAGTTTACGTAGTTTAACCAGGAAAGAAATTATAACATACATATGTTAAGACGTCTATGTCGTTTAAACAGTATAAGTAACATATGCATAATTGCTAAAGCTCTTGATATATAACAGAGTCGTAAGCAGATTGGCTTCTTAGTCAAGAGAACTCAGATTTGAGTCATCTCACCATAATAGCCGGTTTATACAAGCATGCTTATCTAACAAAATGCTATACTCTTTGTTGCGGAGACTCCACATGTGAAACTGGCTCAACACACTTGAGGAGTCCAACTTGACCCAAAAGATTAACCTATTAGGTCTAGGGTCCTTCCATGTATATAAATCACTTCACATTCTCATTCACTTTTCATGTGGGACAACACACATATGCACTTTTCTCAACACTCTTCTATTTTGAAATATCTTTAACATACGAAATACAACAGTCACCCACATATTTGAAATATTTTGAAAGGTGTGCGATTTTTGTGTTTTATATACAATTAAAGATGTTTTAGTTCATGTAACCCATTATTAAGGATAGATGTTTCCTTCTTTTGCCAACACTCGAGTGAATTCGCATTGTAGAATATTTGAATCTTTTTGAGAGTGTCAAAGAAGGAAACTTCTAAAACTTGACAGGGAAGGAATTGGTCTGTGCATGGGTTATTTCTTGCTATCATTGTTTTTGCTTTTGCTTTTGATAGATGTGGAAGATTGCAAATTTTGAATTTTCCAACTCATGATCTTTGAAGAGAATTTCACGCCATATCCTTTTTTTTTTTTTTTTTTTTTTTTATAAAAAAAAAGCTTTGTAACATCGGTTTAACTTTAAGCAGAATTCCATATCTTTGGGAAAATTGCTTTCAAAAGCATGAGTTGCAACCCAAAAGATCCTTCTTCTGCGTTTGCCATCGAATGAAAAATAATATGTATCACGAACACAGATTGAGGTGTCGCAACTGGAATCAGCTAGACCCACGTTGATCTTACATCATAATGGTAAGGACACCAACTTTAATCACAACTTTTACACCAATTCTTGGGTTGTCATTATTTTCTTTGTAGGTGCAATCTGTAATTGATGCGGTAATCTTTTAAACACCTACTATTAAAAAAATGACAACTCAAGTTGGTATAAAAGTTAGGGAATAAAGTTGATACCAATAATAGAAAAACGTTGCCTTCGTGCCAACTAGTGTTGCACACCACATATAATAGGATTTAATGCTATGCAGAGAGAGAGACCCAAATATGCCGAGCTCATTTTAGAAGTTCATTTTTATTAGATGCGGTACAATAACTAATACAGTTGAATTGCTAACATCAACTCAGCCATAACATCCAAACTCTCTCTGTTCTTTTCCCGTCTAGGAACTATTCAACAAAGTATGGGTTATAGTTTTAGGGGGAAAAACATCTTTTTAACATTATTTTATGGAGAAAATTTTAACATATCCTTTTTAGAACACAAATAAATTCAAATATACCACTAATGAGTTGATTTAGCGGTAAGGATGCCTTTCTTTCTTCCTTCTTCATGTAGGATGCATTTAGAGTTTGATGCTCTACAATCCCACTATAGAGTCCTTGTCCGATCAGTGTGTTGTCTGTTGTGAACCAAAAGGACGCGATCTAATTCTACTAGAAATATGTTAAAAAGTTGTAGAGTTGAAAAAAAATTCCAAATTCAAGTGTCCACATCTTTTATCATTTAATCTTTCAATTATATTTTGCTAACTACGTTCAGGAATTGAGTATTGGATTGAGACTAACGGATGATAAAAATCTTATGATTGAGTGTGGTAGATGCTAAAACAAGTCATCCGAGCAGAAGTGCGACGCCAATTCAACATACGTCTATACACGGTTCGGTTTGGTCGGTTTTTTGAGACAGATAATAAAGAATCTTTTGATTGAGTGTGTTAGATGTTACATGCTAAAGCAAGTCGTCTGAGCAGAACTGCAACGCTAATTCACTTGAGAGTTTATCCTTGTGCGTTTCTTGCTTGGTTTTAACTTTTTATGTTATGTAAATCTTTTTTTTTTTTTTTTTTTTTTTTTTAAATTTCGCCTTGAAAGCCTTTTTACCCAGTTCTTAAATTTTCATGAACGCTCCGTAATCATTTTTACAAAATTTGTAGCAATTAAACATGTCTACAAATCTTTAATCAAGTGCATAGATCTTTAACAAGTTGTATGGTGAATCATTACTGAATTGAAAGTCCATACATATGTAATTCCAATTGTAAAGAAAAAAAAATAGAAAAACGGTTCAGGAAAATCTCTTATTGACAATTTCCAAAAAAAAAAAAAAAATTCTCTTATTTACTGGTCAAGACAAATTTTTGAATTTAATAGGTAAAGGATTTATCTTATAAATACAAGATTAACCAGGTAAATTGAAAAATGTTTAGCTCTCATAATTTTTTTTATACGAACAATTTGTGATTTTAACACCAAAAAAGAAAAAGAACAATATGCGATTCTTGTATAAAAAGGATTCATTATTTACGAGATAAACAAAAAAATAATTTGAATCTGGTCTATTCAAAAACACTATCTCACTCTGTAAATAAAGGATTTACTAATAAGAACATATGGCATTCGTATAGAATTTAGTACTAAGAAACACAAATTCTACAAATACAAATCAAACAAAAATGAATAAATTTCTAAATATAACCAAATGGTATATTCTTCTCACAAACACGGGATATATTCTTGTATTGTGATTAATAGGTTTGTGTTATTATCTCCTTTTAATATTTTAAGACCATCTTTAATGTAAATTTTTAATGTCAATATTATATTTGTCACGAACAAGTGTGAAAATAATATATTTAATGTGTTGTGCTGTAATTTAGCATAAGAATATTTAGATAGTCAGGGATGTTCATAATTTATTAGATGGTTTTAACGGTGTACATTCCTTAAAAAATAAAAAAATTTAATAATTAAAAAACCTTTTGTTGAAAATTTAAAAACGAACTCACTATAAAAAAAAATAGCTCAAGAAAAATTTGTCTAGTAAATTTTGTTAGAGTGCGTTTTCAAATTGTAAAATATATTCAACTTATTTATAAAAAAAAAAAAAAAAAAAAAACGGAATCATCACCGCATACTCGATCAACGAAACCTCCTCCTCCTTTTTCATTCTTCCTCTTCTTTTTTTTTTTTTTTTCTTGAGTTAAAAAAGATCTTTCCTTCGTAACCAACAACAGTAAGGTTTGGCAACTTCCATCATTAGTTTGGACCAAAAAGCTTCCGTCATTAATATTTTAATAAAACAAACGGAGGCAGAACCCATAAAACAAAACCCACTGGTTGGAACTTGGAGAAAAAAACCTTCCTTAATTAATTTTTTGATTGATCACAAAGAGTTTCAAAAAGGGTAACATGATGACCATAAGTAAATCCTATTAAATGACCATATTTAGGCAATTACTGACCGGAAGAGAGAGTTTTATTACTTGCTTTGCTAATCTTTTTCTTTTTCTTTTGAAAAATGCTATGCAATGTCATTTCTACTTAAAATCTACCCATTTTAATTTGATATGAGTCTGTGCCTTGTGGATCGCAATTTCTTGAAAAATGAGTTGAAAAAGTTGTGTTTTAGCTTATAAAAGTTGACATATTAGTGTGGATTAGAACCCTATGGAGGCAAATAGAAGTGCTCTAGTTTCATTTTTTTTGTTTTCTAGGGACACTATTACAACATATTTCTAAACTAAACGTGAAAATAAGATTTAAAAAAAAGAAAACTATAGGAGCTAAAATAATTGTATGTAAATAAACATATGACTTGCCTTAGATTTACTTCATTCCACAAGGATTCTGATAAATTTAGCTAATTTATTGGAACAATTCAAACTTCTAATATTTTGTAAAATTAATTGATCTAATTCAGTTGAAGCAAATGTATCTTTGTAATTTTCTTGATTATATTTTATTATAATGGCCCTAAGAGATTATAAACATCTAAATCTAAAAAATAATGGGATTAGATTGATTATTTTAAAACCCCGTATAGTGGAATAAATGTTGCAAAAATGATAGACGCGCTCTTTTATAATAGAAATTGGCCGCGTTGAAATGTAACATCAAAATTCTTGTAGGTCTTTTTTTTTTCCCATATGTTTTGGATTGCACCCCTCAAGCTTTTATTCAATTAAATTACAGGGCCGGTCAAAATATGATAGGTAGTTTTAAAAATAACATCAAAAGTACAAATAACAAGAACATAATTTGTTGTACAAGACTTCACTATCTACACCTATAATTCCATCTTAAGCAAGTAAGAGGTTAAAAGTTTTGCTCATAAAAATTTAAATTTTTATTCAAACTTTCTAATTATATTTATGAACTAAACAGTTAAAAGTTAGTTGGGTCGGTTTTTTTTTTTTTTTTTTTTTTTTTGAAAATAGGTCTGATGGTTTTAACCTTTTCATACCTAGTATGATTGGACTAAATTGGGTACATTTTGAATCCACAAAACACCCTTCTCGCAAAATTCATGTATTTCAATTTTAGTTTTGAACCAAGCAATGATCAAGTAGGAAAATCAGCTAACAATATGACAAGGCATTTCAAATCACAGGACAAAGAAGACAACACTGTCAACAACAACCCTCCATTTGGTCCGTCTACTTTAAAATACACAATTGGCAATTTATTTAATTATTGAGTCACCGTCTTTATCCCATAGAAAACTGCCCAATGATGCTCTCGATACCAGAAAAAAGAAAGATAAATTTAATCATAAAATATTAGTAGATTCTCTCTAATCAAGACAATTCAGATGACTTCACATTAGTTTATAAACGTTAATCCCTTTTTAATATCGGTTGATGTATCTGAAGCTGTGACATCACTGGCCTTCATAATAGTTAATTCTCTCTAATTGATCTCTTTGTCATAGGTTTTAATTTACTACTATTGAGAATGACGGGTAGGGAAATTGGCAAAGCTTGCTAAAAGAAGAGACAGTGTGACTCGAAATTATCGCTCCAGGACAATTGAGCAATTTGGCATTACTCTACTTTTTTTTTTTTTTTTGAAACTTGAGGTCGGGATTGGGGATTTGAACTGTACACTTAGGTCACGTTCATTTCACCGATTCGAGTTTTGTTACAATAAAAAGTTCTCAGAAACAGTCACATCTAATTTTTTTTTTATTACAATGAAAAGCTCTCACATAAAGTGACATATCAACTCGAATTAAAAACTCACATCAGCGAACTAAATGAGCCCTTATATAATAGAGTGATGTATGAAATTATTGAAACGCTATATATGCAACTATGTGATGATCTACTTATTAGTGATGAGATAAAGTTAGTTATTTACATAGAGCCAATCTTTTACTGATCTACTTGTTATTGATCAAATAAGGAAGGCTATGTGAATCTGTGGGCCGTTTGATAAATAGGCTCCAAATGTGATGGTTTAAAACAAAAAAGTTTAAAAAGTATAAAAACTTTTAGTTTAAAATAATGTTTGGAAATCAGTTGATGTGTAGTCTGAAAAGAAAATAAAACTTGAAATTGTGTTTAGATGTGTGTCATTAAAAGTTGTTTTTATTTTCTTTGCTGAGAGGAGAAGTGTGAGTTTGAGTAAAAAAGGCTATGCATGTTGGTTCAAAATCTTGAAAACATTTTAACGGGGGACGAGGGTACGTATTCTGGATTTCGGATTACTTCTTTGGTTTAAGTTGTCAAAACAATTATTCAAAATGAATCTTAAAAAAGTTTAACAAACACCATTTCAAACAGACTTTTTGGTTCAAAATACACGAATCAAGTTGCTTAATGGCACATATGCTTATCCAACATATACTCTTGCTCCACATTAAATTGTAGCTAACCACCGGTGAAATATAATTAAAAAAATAATAAGTTGTGGGAAAGTTCCGTACGTGGAGGATGATTTCACTTTCATATGTTACGTCGAGGTTGTGCATGCCCAATTGATTTTTTGGCTTTTCTTTCACCTCTAGCACTGTTTTTACATTAAGCACTATATTATTCATCCCTCCATTTAGGAAAAAAAACTGTTCATGTCTACTCTAACAGTGTGTTTGGTACGGTAGAAAAGAGAGAGGAAAGAAAATAAAAGAAAGATTTTGTAGAGAAAAATGAAATTTTAGGTTGTTTGGTAGAGAGAAAATGTAGAAGGAAGGAAAATAAAAATCTATGGGACCCATCAATTTTTAATCCTTCCATTCATCATGAGGGAAAAAGTTTGACAAAAGAATAAGATGTAAAATAATAATTTTCACCTTCACCATTCATCATATTTTTATTTGTGTTACGATATTATTGTAAGATGCCTTAAATTTGACTTTTTTTTTTCTTCTACTAAACAATATGAGAGAAAACTATTTTACTTCCTTCACCTATGTATTTTATTTCTCTTTTCTTCCTTTTTTCTATCCATCTTACCAAACATAGTATAAGTGCGGTTATAATTTCCTTTAAAAAAAAAAGTGTGGTTATAATTTGGAGAAATAAATGTTTGTTTCTCCCCAAAATTTTTCTGAAAAGATTCACTTAAAGAAGAAACGATTCAGCACGGACGGCAAAGTAATGAAATTGACCAACAAATTATTTAAAAGGGATTACATTTACATTTTTAGAGGAGGAAAATAAGGGAAGAAGATCTTTACCCTCAAATAAATAAATAAATAGACTAGGAAGAAGAAGAAGAAGATGATAAAAATAAATAAGCTTTGCAAATTAAGTGGAGCCACGTACGGTAGAGCCATCCTAATTTCAAGGGATATATGCGAACGATTTCTTTCATGCGTAATATTTAGTTGACTTGATAAATAAAAGATTGAAAATGCGGAGAGAGCTTGTTATAAAACTATGGTCAGCGAATCACAAAATAATCATGTATCAGTATTATTAATCAAGCACTTAGTGATTAATCATATATGATTTGGATTTCTAATTAGTAGTCAACTTTACAAACTACTTAAGAGCAGTTTCATTCTACTTTCACGTGTTAGTACTTTTTTGTTTTTATACAAGGTAAACTGACCTTGAATATCGCAAAAGT